GTTCTACATTACGTACTTTCTACTTGTACACTGACTATCCTTGCCCATTTCCATCTTTACGGTCTTCTACACTTAAGTGTTGATTTGGTTGCAATCGGTTCTCTTTTAATGGGTTTTCTCCTTGGTCTTTGGAAACCTTTTAGCTTGTTAGTGTGTTCTTATCAATACGTGAACTTAATCACTAACTTACGGACTCTGTTCGTTAATTCCCTCATCCTTAGTGAACCTCAATCCTTGGATTCATTAATCGACTTGTTTATTTATTTGTTCTTTTCAGCTATCAAGCATCGTGTGCAAGCATCTTTGCGCCTCTCCTTATCCTGCAAGCATGGATCAGTACACTTACGATGATTTTTTGCGCCACCATGCGCCTGTCCTTATCTCCATGCAGGTTCCTGAGCTCTATTGGCCTTCAGTACATAACAAATTGCTGAACAAGATCTTCGACGCCCCAACGAAGTTTGATCTCGGCATGCTTAATTATACAAGTGAGACCACACACGAAGTGGTCGAAAGGGAATTATTTGTCTCTGTCAAGGTAGACGAGGTTCGGTTCTCCAACCCGGAGAGGTTTGTTCCCCCTATTTCGCTTGATTGTTTAGCGTCTTCCTGGTTGATCACGCGTGGACGTTTGAGCTACCAGATGTGCGGAACACTTTGAAGTCTAACGCCACTTTGCTATTGAGAATGAAGACTATGATGTGCATCGAAGAGGAGACTGAGGATGAAGCAATTGAAGCAGTCATGCAAAAAATGTGGAAGTGCGTATCTGGTATTATTTTATTCCTTCGGTCGCCTACCTTTAAGTTCTAGCGTTCGTTTGCATACTTCACCGGTTAGCTGTTGTTGAGTGGCCCATCTGCTGATGTTACTTCAGCGAGTATTTTAACAGAGTTGTTATTTGCTCCCTTTATTTCTCTCGTTGTAACTGGCGTGCATATGATTTATCTACCGAACCTGAAATTTTCGAGGGTTTTTCCCCATATCATTGAATTGGAACATGAGGAAACATTTTAACCTAGCCTGGTTTTTTATTCTTGGTTCATTGTAACTTCCTAAAATTACAAGTCAAATCTTCAAAGCTGATGGTAAAGTCTTGAATCATCATTTGCTTGCTCGGCTATCAAGGGGTAAGCATGCGCGTCAATCGTTTCTGGCGTTGCGAAGCTTCTTAATCGTTTGGCAATGCCAAGTTAAAACCAATTAGATCAGACTATATGTTATACAGTCTTCACAGACTGTGCTTTTCATTTGATCCCGGATCCAAGTACGACTTTGAATTCATAGGCACTTCCATGAAACAGTAATCTTGTCAATTTACCC